AAAAAAAAAAAAATTGAAAAAGTACTACATACCTCATTACTGAGTATCACTACGGTCACTTTTGAAGTAGTCCCCTTGAGAAGCTATACATGACACCACAGCCTAGTCCACCCTTCAATGTTGGAACTCTTTTTCTGGAATGGCCATCATAGCTGTTGTCCCATAAGATCTAACAATGAAGTTCATGAACTTATCATAGGAAAAATGCTTTGAAGGGTAGACTAGGCACTGGCATCAATGCATAGCTTTCCAAAGGGAGTACTTTGAAGGTGACCTTAGTGATACTCAGCAATGAGGTATGAAGCATTTTTTCTAGAATGAGTTCCCAAACTTAATTGTCCAACCTTGTATGTTAGCCTTGATGGCCATCCCAAAAAAGGAGTTCCAAAAATGCTTTGAAGGATGGACTAGAATGCTGACATCAGTGCATAGCTTTCCAAGGGGAGTACTTTGAAGGTAACAACAGTGATATTCAGCAATGAGGTACATAGCACTTTTTCTAGAATGAGTTCGCAAACTTAATTGTCCAACCTGATATACTCAGGAATTGTTTTGTTGCCCCAAGAAGTATAATAGCATTTTCTGAAGAGTAATGAAAACCATCCCATCTTGCCTGTGTGAGAGCCAGTACAGCACTGAGGTTAAGAGCTTTAACCATGGCTCCACCCCTGTAGCTCAAGTGGCTAAGGCGTCAGCCACATACACCAGAGCTGGCAGGTTTGAATCCAGCCCAGGCCTGCCGAATAACAATGACAACCACACCAAAAAATAGGGCATTGTGGTGGGCACCTGTGATCTCAGCTACTTGGGAGGCTGAGGCAAGAGAATTGCTTGAGCCCAGGAGTTAGAGGTTCCTGTGAGCTGTGATGTCACAGCACTCTACCCAGGGCAACAGCTTGAGGCCCTGTCTCAAAAAAAAAAAAAAAAAAGAGCTTTAACCATGCAGCTCATTAACTGAGTGATCATGGGTAATTTACCTAATCTCACTGAGCCTCAGTTTTCTTGCCTATAAATAGAGGTAATAGGCTCAGCGCCTGTAGCACAGTGGTTACAGTGCTGGCCACATACACCGAGGCCAGTGGGTTCAAACCTGGCCTGAGCCAGCTAAACAATGACAACTGCAACAACAACAAAAAAATAGCTGGGCATTGTGGCAGGCACCTGTAGTCCCAGCTACTTGGGAGGTTGAGGCAAGAGAATCGCTTCAGCCCAAGAGTTGGAGGTTGCTGTGAGCTATGACACCATGGGACTCCTCTGAGGGTGACAAAGCGAGACTCTGTCTCAAAAATAAAAAATTGATGCAGAAAAAGTATTTGATAATATCCAACATCCTTTCATGATTACAACACTTAAGAAAATAGGTTTAAATGCGACATTTCTTTTTTATTTGTTTGAGACAGAGTCTCACTATGTTGCCCTGGGAAGAGTGCCATGGTGTCACAGCTCACAGAAATCTCAAACTCTTTTTTTTTTTTGAGACAGAGCCTCAAGTTGTGGCCCTCAGTAAAGTGCTGTAGCATCACAGCTCACAGCAACCTTCAACTCCTGGGCTCAAGCAATTCTCCTGCCTCTGCCTCCCATGCAGCTGAGACTACTGGCGCCCGCCACAATGCCCGGCTATTTTTTGGTTGTAGCCATCATTGTTTGGCAGGCGGGGCTGGATTCAAACCCGCCAGCTCAGGTGTATGTGGCTGGCACCTTAGCCTTTTGAGTCATAGGTGCTGAGCCAGCAATCTCAAACTCTTGGGCTTAAGCAATCGTCTTGCCTCAGCCTCCCAAGTAGCCAGGAATACAGCAAGGAATGCAGTTGTCATTGCTGATTTTAGCTGGCCCAGGCTGGGTTCAAACCCAGCGTACTTGGTGTACGTACTTGGTGTACGTAGCTGATGCCCTACCCACTGAGCTACAGGTGCCACCTAGATGGGACATTTCTTAAACTGATAGAGACCATCTACAGCAAATCCACAGCCAATATCATATTTAACGGAGTAAAATTGAAAACATTTCCACTCATACCTGAAACTAGACAAGGATGTCCATTGTTACCACTGCTACTCAACATAGTAAGGGAAGTCCTAGACATTGCAATCAGGCAAGAGAACGGGGAAAAGGGTATTCAAATGGGGTCAGACAAGGTCAAACTCTCACTCTTCACAGATGACATGATCTTATACCTGGAAAACCCCAGGGACTCAACTACAAAGCTCTTAGAAGTGATCAAAGAATGTAGCAGTGTCTCAGGATACAAAATCAGTAAGAAATCAGTAGCTTTTATATATACCAAGAGTCAAGCCAAAAATATAGTCAAGGACTCTATTCCTTTTGTAGTAGCACCAAAGAAGATGAAATACCTGGAAATTTATCTAACAAAGGACATGAAAGATCCCTATAATGAGAATTATGAAACTGAGAAAAGAAATAGCTGAAGATGTTAACAAATGGGAAAACATACCATGCTCATGTTGGGGAAGAATCAAATTGCTAAAATGTCCATACTACACAAAGCAATCTACAGATTTAATACAATCCCTATCAAAGCACCAATGTCATACCTTAAAGCACTAGTTCTCAACCTTCCTAATGCTACAGCCCTTTAATACAGTTCCTGTGGGTCACGACCCA